TTTGCCAACTGCAGGTGCTAGCACCACCATGAAGCTGCACAAACTTTGGTATGATGTATGGTTAAGCTGCTGGCCCACGTTGCCTGCTGTGGACACTCTATAATAATCATATCTTCTGGCTGGACTGTTTCTGAATATATCAAACCTCTACTTTAATTTGATCTGAATGCCAAAATAATAATAATAATAACCAGAACATAAGGAGAGAGGGAAGCAGCTACTTTCGAAGGCTGCACTTCAAAGCCTGTTCAGGTATTTCAAGTGATAATAACAGCAGGCACCCTCAGGCCTAGACACATGTACAAGAGGCAATACCTGGTTGTTCAGATAGTATTTTTACATCATCGCAAAACACTTGACAGACTGCAGTTTAGGTCTTAAAGCAGATGGATCCCAATTTATTCTTACATAAATGTATCTATTATGAGACCCACATTCTTTCACCACTTAGTACTGCCTCATAAGTGACATACAAACTAGGCAGTTTTGTTTCTGGTAGTGTAGCTCTTCAATTTTCACATGATTTTTTTTTTGTAGGGACTAAGGGTTTAGTTCTCCTTCTAGTGATACTTAGAGTGGAAAAAACAAGGCTGTATTTCCAAAGAATTAGAAATAGGAATAGAAGTACTGTCAGCATAAATCTGTGTTTTTTCAGAAAGAAGCTGATCAGAGAAGAGATTAGAGTATATTTTCACATTCTGCATGCAACAGAAAAGTTACATGAGCTCTACCTCACTGCCATAACACAGCTTCAATTGCTGTCACCTTTATCGTGCCACATGCATCCAAAATAAATGGATAAACCATTTCTGTTTGTCTTCTTGAAACACAGCAAGATGACGCTTCCCTTTTCATGGGATATCTGAGCAAGCTACCATTAGAAATGTCTGCATTGGAGGTTTATGCTCTGTGTTGGAGAAACAAAACAGCATAGACATCTGCAGAAGACCAAGGACACTTACCTTTTGCTTTCCTCCAAAACTGAGGCAGCCACCTCTGAATTGTATAGTATGGATATAAGCTGCAGGGTAACATGCATGCTTCTCATTTTGTAGCTGAATAGACAAGAATTGCCATGACTGAATTCGTAATTTCTTTATTTGTTCATTTTGTTATTTATTACCAACAGAACAAACAAAAGGCAGTGCTTACTGGAGAATGCCAGTTAGTAGCCAAAACTGCCTTATGGTAAGTGCTCTAAAGTCCACTTTTCAGAAAATTTCACTTTTTCCTGCATGGAGACTGAGAAATAGTGAAAAGCCATTTCAAGATTAAAAACATACCATTTTTGTTTACCCTAAATGGGAAAGGCACTTTATATCTAATTAGAGATCAGTTTTGCCTAATACAAAGCTATCATAGCAGTGACTCATGTAAGGAACAAATAGTTCCAAAAGCACAGCTGTTTACAAGAGCAAGTTCAGCATCTAACAGCTTTAGAATCGTTATTTGGAGTATTGGAGGAATAGAGTCCCAAGATTCCTTTGTCTCCTCCCCAGCCCATATAAGAGAATAGTACACTTTTTTGTGGTTTTGAAGGAGCCTGAAACTCTTCTAGCTTTCACTCTATCACCAAAACCCAAACCACAAGCTGTCTCTTTAGAAGGGCATTGCAATACAGTAGTTTGCTGTTAACCAGACTTAAGGCACCATGTGTTGGATACAGTCACAAGACAGCAGTAACTCATAAACAACCTGCTGTTTATTGGTTAAAAATTAAGTATCTGGATGCAAGCTTAAAATAATTATCTAGTATAAGCATATTCCAAACTACCATGGATAAGTAAAAAAAATTACTTTTTTCCTCTTCCCCCCTTTTTGCAGCAGGGGAGGGTGTGGCATAGGGCAGGCAATTTTTTTCCCCTATTCAATCCCTAATTTGGGATAGTTTCATTTAGAGGAACTCAGTCCAGTTTCATGAGTCCAGTTGCACTAAACCCATTTGTTGAGCAAGAATGCAAGACAGACGCTTGTAATGTACCTGCTTCAACTGATGCTATATACACCATCACAGTTCATGGTTCCTAAGACAGACTAAATGAGAGTAAACACCTATGCAAACTAAGCTAGCAGACCAGCAGACCTTTAGCCAGCTTGTAAGAGGCCCTGCTAACCAGATTTTAATAATCATCCCAACAGCTATTTCAGAACTCCAGTGTAGTATGAGTTCTACTTTTAGCTGGATCAGCAAATGGCCATTTAGATGCTTAACACAAATGCTGGTAAACATAGTCCCTCACTCAAGCACCAAGACAGTCAATTGCTTTTTTAGTTATAATGGTATCTTTGAGGACAAAACTACATGTTGCCATTCAGCCCTCAAAAAAAGAAAAAATAATCAGTGATTCTCTGTGAAGCACCACAAGACCTATATTTCAACCTGGATACCAACCCCCTTTCAATGAGTTGTGTTCAATCCCTTAACCATACAAATCAAATGATGTTAAGAAATAAGTAGGCAAGCATCCATTCTATTTATTCAGTGTAAATCAGGCAGACAGCTACAGGTCTGTCTCTAATACCAAAGGCTATTCTAAATCAGTAACTAATGGATTTATTTTTAGCCACTGAAGGAGCCATAGAATTTGTTCTGAGCATGACCTACATGTTCTAACTTAGATTTCCCAGCACCAGTTTAGACCTCCTGCAGAGTTGGAATAGTCAAATTGAATCAATGAAACTTCTGAATGCTATGCTTCCGTTGTCCTGCAGATGGGAGCAAGAAAGCATCTTCAGCAGCAGCAAACACAGGCTGAGCAGCTAATGGGACAAGCTTGTAGTGACAGTTTACTAAGTCAGCTGGGGATTTTATTTTTACTGTGGGACAGCATTTGTTGAACAGGCCTGATGCAAGAAGGTACAGAAGGGCTTAAGACCTTTAAGAAAATTCTTAGTAAGGTCTGAACTCCTAGTGTCAACTAGACCACAAGATTGAGTAATGGAGGACAGAATCAACAGCCACACTACTTGTTTGATATGAAGAGTTGCTTCTGTTTAATGTTGTTAGGTAACATCACTTGAGATACTACAGTTTTATATAACAGTGTAACATCCGTAAGTTTCTACATTTCCAGTTTGAGACAAATTCATTGCTTTTTTTGCATTACAGAAAGTGCAAGAGATGTTTATATACAAGACTAATCACATGACTGAATTGGGACTAAGGCTGTATTCAAGTTGACTTTCTTAGCTTTACAGTTCAGTAACTGCTTAGGCATTTGATTTAACAATACTATTTCAAGTTTGTACTTAGTATTAACAGAAAACCTCTGACACATCAGCCATCACCACTGGCCAAAAATGTAGTTATTACTAACAGATCTTTAAATCTGTTGGTTAAGAGATTTCTTTAGAAAAGGCACCGTTTTCACAAGATGGAGGACTGTCTCACATTAATGGCACAAATGTGGTGCCTCTGTTCGCAAGGAATCTAGGCACAGAGTGAAGCCATGATTGTCTTTTTACTTTCTAACGTACTGGAAACATGCCACACTACATGTGACAACTCAAACTGAGCAACATCAGGGACATTCACTGAAATATACACAAGATACCTATCTGCTTGTTCCATTTGTCTGTCAAGCCACCTTAATACAAAAGTAATCCTAGTTGATTTCCCTCCCTGAAAAAAGCCATATTAGCACCAAGACAACAGTTAGCATCCATGACTACCGCAATGTTCTGCAAGAAATGTTTCAGCTTATCTGACTCTACAGTGTAGGCCTCTAGTACTTAGGACTCCAGAAGTTCTGTTACAGACCCCACAGTTAGTCCCTTTATTACACATTTATGGTAGAATGATACTTTTACCATTAGTTAGATAGGTGTTGGATTTTTCCCCACAACAATTTATATCTTTATGGCTCAGAGACCAAGTCATATGTCCAGTCACCAATTAGAACTAAATAGCATCCACTTAACTTTACAACTGGCTGCTGTTGTGAAAAACAGCAACAGACCTAGTTGTTTAAGCTGTGGAGTTTTAGCTACTAATTCAATTCCCTTATGCGAAGGCAATACTTCTTCCCCAGGTACATTCAGTTCCTGTATTTTAGGACAGTAAGTGCTACAGAAAGAGGAATTGCAGTGACCACGTTTACAAGACACATGACTTAGTTTTGCTGAGCTCTTCTGTGGAAGGTTGCAAAGAACTAAAGTAAAAGTTAACATCCACCAATTTGAATTTGGGTCTCCAGCTTGAGTCTGACTACCCATTTGCGTTGCCCTGAATTAGTGTCTTCACAGCATGTTCTTTGAGGGTTTGTGTTTCAATCCACCTGGACATGATTTGGATAACAGACATGATGGAACAGCAGCAAGAGTGGCAGACAGCAAAGTGAAACATGTAGAAAAATCATGTTGAGAAGAGGTCCAGTTATTCCATTTGTCCTTTTCTGATCATGCCTAGTATGATGAAAAGGGCTTAGGGTTAGATTGGCTATAAGTTATAGTTCTATTGCTTAAAGTAATTTAGACCCACCGAGAACAAAACTAAAGCAATGTATAGCAACACTTGTCTTTAACAGAAAACAGTGTTTTAGGGGAAGATTTAGAGATGTGGCAGAGGAATAGCTTTGCTTGCTTGACCGTTCATGTTCTCCAGTCAATGTACAAAAGTTTGAGTTACATTAATGCGAGTTACATGGAGTAAAACCAGAATAAGGGCTGTTATGATAGCTTTTGTTACTCAAATTCACTCATAGTACAAATCCACGATTATTTAGGGGATTAAACTTCAGAAAACTGTATGGGGCACTGTATGCTAACAGTGTCCTAAAAAGATATCTGAAGGAATTTAGTGAGCCTCTGAGTTTTGCAGTGCATGTGTACTTGTTAACTTAGTTCCTTCCTCAAGGAAAGGATAAACTAGATCTATTGTGGCCTTGACACTTAAGTCCATAGAAGAATAAAATTGTTATTTGTAAGGAAGTGAAGTTGGCTAGGTTTAGCCAGAATGCAACTATGTTCAAGTTTGAGTAGAGGTACTCTAAGTAGAAGTGTTATTCTACAAGCTGTTTGCCATACTTCAAAGGAGCATTGGAGTTAAGCTAGTGTAGTTTTTAGCCAGCTCTTTACAACAGGTTTCCCAAATCAATTTCCAGAATGAAGTAAGTTATCTTATTAATGGAAGACTTACCTAATCTATTGAAATGGGTTGCCAAAAGAATTGCCAAAAGAATCACCAAAAGTACCAGAAGGTGGTTTCTGAGGTTCCTTCTGAGGAAAGAGATCATAGGCTGTTAGCAGATGTCCAGGTTTCATCCAGGTTACTCTATGTCTGTATCAGCTAGTTCCTGTTCCAAACTCATTCTGGAAAGAATACTTCAGAGTCCCTGCTAAATACACATTAACTGTACTGCTTTAACAAGAGAAATGGGCTCTAAAGCAGTGTTAGCCACTATGCTAGTCTGAGGGAAGATATCTTTCAGGAGAGCCATGTGTGCTTACTGAACACTCACTTGGAGCTGAGCCAGCATACTCATGATGAGATCTGCTTTAACCAAATGCTAGATGTCTTAAGTCAGAATTCTGGAATTGATCCAGTTTCCACCAAGGCCTTCAAGTGTTGTAACCCAAATGGAATGATGTGGTTAAGCCACTTCCTCCCCCAGGGGGTACTGAACATGGGAGCCTCCCATTTGTTCAGCAAGAAAGCTGCACAGCCTACACTACTCAGTCTACTGCACAGAAAGTTAAGTATAAGCAAAGTGGAAGACTTCTACAGCTACCTTATTTTACAGTCTTTTGTAGAAGCTCCCAATACTGAATAACATCCTGACAGGGCTTGCAGCTTGGGGAACTGGTTATGGACCCAAGCCAAATGGAATCATACTTTGCTAGCCTTTTGCAAAAAAATGCCCTCCATTAGATTAAATATTTGCCTCAAACATGTAAGAAGTTTTGTTCCACGGTCTTTAAAGCCAGAAATAAGCCAGCACTCAAACACAGGCACCCCTGTTAAGGCCAAAGAAAGATTGGGGGGGTTTTGGCCATTTTTTTTGGTTTTGTTGATTTTTTTTAAAATTATTATTATTTCTTTGTTTTGTTGGTGGGTTTTTTTGGGTTTTTTTTTTGTTTTTTTTTTTTACTACTTACAGATGAGGCACTGGAAAGGTCCATTTTAGCTTGACTTTCAAACAGGTCATCAGCCGTCAGCTCACTTTGTCGGGGAACAGGCATTGGTGGTTCTAAGGAAAAGAGACGTACTGGTGTAATCACTTAACAGCTTTAACAAGTACTCAGCTCTGCCTGTACAGCAACACCAAAGCTCATCTAATTAGGGACATAAACCCACACAGAAGTTGCCTTGAGTAACCTCACAATTTTATGTGCTGTTTGTCCCTCACTACACTCAAGGTAGATGGGTGGGATTTCTAACATTGTACAGACCTAGTTTACCTCATTCTGGTCAGGTAGTTTAGACACTAGGTGTCAGTGTTTGGCCACTGACATTGATCGGTTCTGTAACATTATTAGAGGAGACAGTCCTTCAACCCTCTGTTTCAGTAACCACTAAATCAAGTTTTTACTTCCATCAGAAGAGATTAGTGATCAGCAACCCTAATCCCTGAGCATCTATCCAAGCAGAATTAAAAAAAAAGATTTTTACCCAAAAATATTTTGACAGACAGGTTGCTAGCTTCCATGTCATGATCTGTACTATCTTGAGGAATGCCTACTTTAATACTGAAATAATTGCTAAAAGCTCCAGAAGCACCTGAAAGGCTTTGCTGCTCTCCTTTCCTTGCTGGTACTGCAGGTGGTTTTGTCAGCTGGAAGTCTTTGAACATTTCCTTGACATCCTTCATCTCTTTGTCACCAAGTGGATCCAGGTCAATAAAAGCATCACTCTCTTTCTTGGATAGCTCCTTCGGAAGTGCAATTCTAGGTGGTGGCTCAGGTGGACTAGTTGTTGACACGGAGGGCAATACAGATGGCACCTGAGCAGGTGCTGAAGATGGGAACACACTGCTCTGGAAGGGATTTGCAGCACTGGATGGCTGCACCCATGAACTAGATTGAACTTGTGCTGGCTGTGCCCAGAGACTAGAGGACTGAGTGGCTGCTGGACCAAAAGATGCAGGCTGCTTCCAGCTTGGCGCTGCTTGAGAACTAAAGGTAAATGATTGACTAAATCCTGTAGGCTGAGCAGGCGTCACAGACCCAGGAAAGACTGATGCAGGTGGAGTGAAGACAGATGTCATTGAACTCCATGGTGATGGAGTTAATGGAATGCCACCTAAAGGGAGAGATTGTCATTATACAGCACTTCAATGATCTGAAGACCTCAAGTAGGAGTGTATCAATTCCACAGGGTGCCAGCAAAACATTTTTCATGTACTGTTTCCAAAAATCTGTTGATTTACCCTTAAAAATCATGTCACTGGGAGGGGGGAGAAGGAGGTTAACATTTTTTACTTTGGTCCATTTCAGTCCTGGAAGAACTGAATTGAGGCTGATATAACAGAAGCAGGAGCATACTTAGTCCTAGCACAGAAGTGACAGATGCATTTACCACATAGTTACTCCTGTGTAAGTGATATTAAGACTCTGCAGCAGTATTACCCTAGCCTCCCAAGTGCTTGGCTCACTTGAAGCAGAAATATGCTATCTAAGTTTATCAAAAACCCCTATTCCAGTTAAGGATGTGGAGTTTAGGCCTCTATTCATAGAACTTAGTTTAGGGCAGACAGCACATGGAACAAACGGCATGGCCATAAACAGGAAGTAAACCCAAACCTCTCTTTTTGTGTTAGCAGATATCTTACACTGGAGCAAGATCTTCACTTTGTGAACTAACCTAGACTGAGGAGTGGATATGCTTTGGTAGAACTTGTTTTGAAGAGGTCCAGTGGATTTGCTGGCACAGGTCCTGTTTGTGCCACTGAGGTCAAGCTAAGGCTCTCTGTAGATGGCACAAACTGTGGGCTAAGTGAATCACTTGATGAAGCCTAGAAAGAAAAAAAAAAGCTTTGAGATTGCATGGCAGAACAAATGCTGGCATGATCAAGGCTCCCTAGTTCAAAGCTACAAGCTGTTATTTCAGCTAAAGCAGAACAGGGAGCTTCTATATATCCTTCAGAGACCAAGTAGAAGAGATTTAAAAACTCCATTCTGTTCATGCCTACTGAGATGCATGGTATAATATACAGTAGCCACAAGTCAACAGCAAAAGAATTAAGACTTAAAATGACTGAATTATTTGCTATCATAATGATCTTCCCTCTGTCCCCCACCCCTCTAAACTTCCCTGCTCAGTCTGCAGTGACCCTTGCAGTTGTAGCAAGGTCAGCAACAGACTTTTGCATCGTTTGAGTACAAGTCAAATGAAGCTGACCCAGAGCGACTGGCTAATCAGGCAAGTCATTGAGGTTGCCCTCAGTAGGCAGGTACTGAGAAACCACATTGGTTTCTGTAAGCTAGTACTAGTACCTCATTGTTATGAAAACAAAGGTTGATTGGCATACAGCTATCATAACAAGTTCTAGTGTTACATCAAGTGTCAATATACATAGCAGGATACTTACCAGACCTTTACAGAAGCATGGCAGCATTAAGGAAAAGAGCATATAATTTAGTGACTGTAGCTACTATGAAGCATTCATGAATGTTAGAATGTACCATGGCTGCAGAGAGGTTAGACTAAGCATGGCAGGTAGAGAAGTAGATGTGCCACAAAGCTATTTAGACAGTTACACAGCATGGAGAAAGAAAAGCTTCCTTCACCCAGCTTCTTTAAGTAAAAGCATGCGTGTAATCATTAATTACTTGAATATTGTTCACCTTGGCAAACCTCCTTCCTCTTCCTGGCTTGGTACTTTGTGGTGGTGGGCTAATGGTTATAGATTCATGTGACACAAGCTGGATATTGCTTTCAGAATCCAGCTTTAATCCATTCTGCAGAGATACTCCTTCGGAAGAACCTTCCACAAACAGGTTTGGCAGGGCCTTAAGAAAGCCATTCTGTTCTCTCTCTGGTACTCCATTTGGAGCTCTTGCTGGAGGCAACTCACTGTCAACTGGCCACTGGTTCATTAGTACTTCTTGTTTGCCAGTTCTATTAGAAATCTGGTCAAACTGTTTACCAAAGTAGTCAGTATCACTATCTGAAGCACGATTACCCACCGGTGCCAAGGTGCTCAGAGCTTCCTTCTTCTGATCAGCAGATTTTAGAGAATCAAATGAAGGTGGTGCAGATTGGTCAGGCTCTGTGAAAGGATCATCACTGAAAGGGTCTGGATTAGGTGTGGGAAAGAAGCTGAGACTGGTAGAGAAAGAACTCTCAGGCAAGAAGGGTAGCTGTGGCTTTGGTTGTGGAAGAGAGGTTGTGATGTCATTCAAGAAGAGATCCTCTTTTGTAAAAGTCTGTTTGGTCTCAATTTCAGAATTTAGATCCACTAACAGAATCTCTTTAGCTTCCTATTCATTCAGAAAGAAAAATAAAGTTAGTTTTATGTAGGACTTGCTGTGTAGTACACAAGCTGAAGAAAAACTGCTGCAAAAGGAGAGATCCTAGTATCCAATACATGATACCAATAAGTATTCAATATCACAGTGATGTTGCACTAAACTTTACCTTATAAGTCATTAAGGCAAGCTCTACTGACTGTGGTCAAGTCACAGCTACTTAGTTTTAGAAACTCAACGTTAAAAGCACCTGTTTTGAGATTCCTTAGTTAAATATCAGATGCTTGTCCTATAGCCTAGATACTGAAAAGTCATTAAATACCTAAGTCCAGAACCCCTGTTTGAGTTCTAGCCCTTTGTTTTGACAAGTTGTGAAATCACACTGCCCTAGTGTGACTTCAAGTTGCAGTCTCAGTTTCAGAGAAAGATTGGAGAGCTATTTGCCAGTGGAAGATGTTAACATGCCATCTCTCCACCAAGCAGGAAGTAGAAGGTTAAGACCCGATCACTAGCTGGATTGACAGCATCAGTTGTATCATGACCAATGGTGGCTTACAGTGCCAGAATAAACCAGTAGAATTTTTGGGGTCATACTGAGTTATAAGAAGGTTTACGCACACTTTTGTGGAGTTGCACTACGTCTTGAGCTAGGGCTACTCATCTAGAATGGCCAGGAGTCCACTCTGAGGGACTTAAGGATTCACTTGTCCATAAAATCATCTTCAGCTTTAAAGGTCTTCAGCAGAGTTTCTGTAATAGCCATCATAGAAATATGTACTAGAAGTACATGGCTTTGCTAAGACAGCTGACTGGAGAGATGGGCCCATGCAAACCTCATGAAGTCCAACAAGGCCAATTGCAAGGTCCCACATCCAGGTCGGGGCAATCCCAAGCACAAATACAGGCTGAGTGGAGAAAAAGATAAAGAGCAGCCCTGCAGATAAGGACTTGAGGGGTGTTAGTAGATTGAAAACTGAATATGAGCCAGCAATGTGTGCTCACAGCCCAGAGAAGTCCATTGCATCCTGGGCTGCACCAAAAGAAGCATGGCCAGCAGGCTGAGTGAGATTATTCTCCCCTTCTACTCTGGTGAGATCCCATCTGGAGTACTGTGTCCAGCTCTGGGGTCCCCAACAAAAGACAGACACGGACCTGCTCAAGCAGGTCCAGAGCAGGGCCACAGAGATGATTGGGGGCTGGAGCACCTCCCCTATAAGGACAGGCTGAGAGAACTGGAGTTGTTCAGCCTGGAGAAGAGAAGGCTCCGGGGGGAGACCATATAGCTGCCTTCCAGTACTTAAAGGGGGCCTACAGGAAAGGTGGGGAGGGACTCTTCATCAGGGAGTGCAGTGATAGGAGGAGGGGTAATGGCTTTAAACTGAAAGAGGGAGATTTAGATTAGAAGTAAGGAAGTTCTTCACTGTGAGGGTGGTGAGGCACTGGAAGAGGTTGCCCAGAGAATTTGTATCTGCCCCCTCCCTGACCGTCTTCAAGGCCAGGCTGGATGGGGCTTTGAGCAGCCTGGTCTAATCAGAGGTGTCCTTGCCCATGTCAGGGGGGCTGGAATTAGGTGATCTTTTGTGCTTCCAACCCAAATCCATTATTCTATGAGTAATACATACATATACAGGATTATCTCTGTCACAGTCTCAAGTAAACTCTGCTGGATAATGACATTAGCTATAGTTACTCTAGTTAGCAAGTAGATGCTATTATAACCCTAAGACACTTGTACACTGGTGATAGCTAGACAGACATCTGAGTGAAACCAGAACTAACAAAGTAAAATCAGGTCTTATTACTAGGACTAAGTTTGCTCTCAAAACAAAAGCCAAGATAGCTGAGCTAGATTCTACTTACTGTGGGACTGGTCATATCAGGAGGTGTTGACATATCCCCAAACAAGTCCATCTGGTCAACTGCCTTGAAACCAAAAATATTGAAAGAATTGGTATATATTAGAGTTCTTGCAAGAGCAAACATCAAATATTGTGCAGATCTACTGTAAACACATCTATAAATACTGCATTTCCCACACAATGTGGAGACAGTGAATAACGAACTCCTTAATGGCATAAGCACAAAGTTTTGAAATTGAACATACCAGTTTCACCTTGTCAGCTTGATCAGCAGGTACTGTTTCACTACCATTCTGTAACAGATAACAGTGTCAGCAATAATTGGAACATCAAAACTTGCCTTAAGCAAGGGACTTGCAGGCTTCAAAAAGCAAGTGATGGAAAGAGGAAGTATGAGGGAGATCACCACTCAGTATTAGTTCTGTAGGCCCCTTTTGCTCCAATTTCAGTGTAATTTGGCATCTGACATGGACATTCTTTACACCACTAGCATTATGGAGGCAAAGCTAGTTGTAGCACCGTACCTAAGAGGCCAAGTCGGAGTGACTTACCTCAGTCTGACTTGCTTCTTCACTCTAAAGAAGAAAAGAAGGCTTTTAGTACCTAGCCATGATGTAGAGTATCCAAAGCCTCTCGATTTGGAGGGGTTACCAGACCTAGGAGGTAATCAAACTGCTGGTACAACTATCAACCCATAACTTCAAGTGATCCTAAATTTAGACAGACCTCAGTGTAAAGTCTCACAAGAGCCCAAAAGCAAAGCCGAGACTGAAGCAAGCTTTATTTCTGCTGCAGAGTAATGCTATTTACATGATTTTACTTGCCTTTTTCTTGTATTCTTCCTTCTTCTTCATATTATAAACGAGTTGGAAGAGGTCCTTAAGATCAACAACTAGAGGTTCAGCCTGAAAAAGAATGTAGGTTTTAGGCCATGCTCTACTTCTCCCTGGAATTCTATTGAAGCAAGCTGTGCAGCAAGCCAAACTTTCCTAAACGGTGACATAACACGAAAAGCAAGAGTTTAAAGGACTGCCCAGTCTCCAGACATGAGAAGGCTTATGCAGAATCCAAAGGTAATGGGGCACAACCAGCTTAGAACTGTTAACTTCACAGGGAAAGTGGCTGTATTTGTGCTAAGCCTGCTATGTTTTTGCTAAAAAGCTTGTAGCACAAGATTTCATAAGTGCATGGCAAGTCCTAATCATATTTCCTCAAAAGTGCAAAGTTTATCCAAGCTCACTTGTAGTCTCATGAGAGGAAAAACATTTCGCATCCATCTGTTTTCTACCAACTCCAACACTGAACCTGGAGAAAGCTTCTATAGTTAGAACTACATTTATTTTAAACAGGATGCAAATAGTAAATCAGCAAGGCAAGTACAAGGTAAGGTGATTATCATGTCAAATATGTAAAGCAGACATCAGCTTTAAGTGGTATCTGTATAAATTAGAAAGGCACTGCATGCCCTGCACATCCATTGACAAGAATGTTTTGAGTGGTTGCTGAGATCATGGCAGTTTCAGCTATACTGATTTGGAGCTCCTGCTTGAGGTATATAGCAGCTGTGTCAGTGTCTGGAGTAGGATAAGTCTCCCTGTTCAGGCACTACCATTGGCTCAAGCAAAGCATCTGTTGAACTCAGATACATCTGAGTATCAGCCTCTACTAATCAAGTGTTTTAGACATACACTTGCAGGAAAAGCCATTTCAAGAGTTGTCAACTTTGACAAACAGTACAGCTGCAGCAGTCCTTGTTTCTCTGCTAGACAAGTTTGTGTTAAAAACTAGCAGCAAGTCAAGAGCTGCCTACAGCTTGGCTAAGTTTATAGGCTGGCAAGCAGCAGCCCATGGTGAAAAGCTCTGAGAGAACAGACTCCACTCCAGAGCACATATAGAAGGCTTTTGTACTTAATCTACAATTCCAGTGAAGCTAATACAACACAGGACTGATAAAACTGGTTTAGGAGAGGGTTTTACAGCTGCTAAGTAATAACATGCTCCAACAAGGAACCCCTCAGTCCCACCTGGAGTGGATCTGAAGCTGCCAACAGGTTCTCCAGGAGGGCAGGCAGGGATGTATATGAAGTCTTGGCTCAAGTCACTATAGTAACTATTTTAAAGACATTACAATGACAAGCTAGCAAACGATAAATAGCTAATTTAAGTTCAAATAATTTACGAAACTGCCTAATACTCAGCACCAACTCTGAGTAGCTTGTTTCCGATATTGCTTATGTACAGGTTCTCTTCAGAGAGACAAACCCTGCGTACAGGATTGCTGCATGGGGAAACCCTAGCACAGAAGGATCAGAATCCCTTCCACAAATAACTCTAGGAGGACCAGACCTGCCATTCACTGGCTGCAGAAACACTATTGCAACTGAGTGAGGTTTGGTTTTTTTTTTCCCTGTGCTGCACAAGGCAAAGCACCATGAGAATTAGACTAGTGGAGTTCTAATATAATTTCTGTTAATTCTGAGTGAAGCTCTGGCTATTTGACTCAATAATTAGCATTCTCACTGACAGTAACAGGCCACTGTACAGGAAAGCCCATGATAATGTCTCCTTTCATCTCACTTCCATGGTGCATGGACATATTGAGCAACGTTAATCACAGTAAGCAAGGCTGCTTGAGTGTTTTTATTCTGGACTACAAAGAAGCTGAAGAAGGTAAAACCTAATGGTGATACAGTCAATTCCTACTGCCCTCCTCTAGGAGAAGAGTCTATCCATCTGTGCTGGGATTCTCCTATACTTCACAGGGTTACCAGTTTACACAATAGCATTACTCATAGCAAGTGGAAAAGTGTCCAATCCTTACCTGTTGTGCTGTTTTTATGGCAAAAAATTGGTGCTGGCCTTCTCCTCCACAAATATAGCCAAAGGCACGATTGTCTGTTACATCCCGAGCAATAAAGGAGATTTTGTTTACTGGATGCTCATGCTCTATGACCTAGAATTGGAAAAAAGTAACTATTGCTTTAAATTGCTGGAAACATAATAGCTGCTCTTTTCAGTGGTTAGAATGATTGAGACTTAGGAGGCTTGAGTTCAAGACTCGGATTTATCAGTCTGACTAACCACAAAAGGATGTTGCCACCTTTCTGGCAGGAGGCTTCAGCATTACAATGTATTTCACAAGCTAGCTTTTGTAAGTGGAAGGGCGCCGTGATGCCATTATGGGAATCTAGTTCAGAGTGGTGTAACTTCCAAGAGCCTCATTTGCTTTAAGAGCCACAATAACATTAAGAGAATAAGTCATCTCTTACCCCGGTTTTCTCATCTGTTATCTTGATACCAGAGAGGGATATGTTCACCCAGATCTTCTGTTTGTGTTGACCCTGGGAACGGGCTGTCACCGCCATTCCCTAAAGAGGATGAATGACAAAGTGTTGGTGAGACTTCTGTTAGATTGAGCTTTAACTTTTTTCCTTACATTCCTCATGAGCCAATGGCTGTGACTGTACTAGTGCTAATCTAGTTTTTCCTATGCAACTGTACAGTTAGAGCAGCATTCCTCTTGCAACATATGTCTGACTAGGTTTGAAGTAATACTTCAGGACTAGATTTGTTTTCCTCTGTAAATGTTTTAGAACTTTAAAAACTTAGCTTAGTTCACAAAACTGCTGCAGTAGCAGCATCTTTACCGGCTTCCATAGAATAATTAGACTGGAAGAGACCCCTGGCCTGATTGAAGCTATGTAAGTGTTCTGCACTCCAGAAGTAATCATCTTTGTTGCTGCAGGGCATCTTTTATTCTTTGACTTATCTTTGTCTCTTGGTATCACTGTTGCCACAGGATGCCAACTTGTGTTTTGAGGTCAGTGTTCAATTGCATGGAATTCCACCCTCCCCATACAAAACCCAAGCTCATTGTTTCTGATCAAGTTCATACTATTGGCATCCATACTGAAAACCTAGAGACCTTAAGGACCATTCCCAAGCTATTAGAGAAACATTGTCCTTTGAGTAAGGAGTTATAGCTTTAGAAGTAACATCCACCTAGAACAGTGCTGTTATTACTATGTTACCATTAAGATTTATTTGAAGTTGTGCCAAAGTGACCATTTGATCTGCTTTCTGAAGGCTACCTAGAACTTGTTCCTTACATACCAGCTCAAGCCCTTACCTTCAGCTTCATCATTGAATCCTGACTCATTTTGTCTCCTCTTGCCTCTGGGACTTCATCAATGCCAATCAGTTTAGCTTTGTATCTCACACCATCACCTTTGAATCTGGTCAAGAGAGATTCATCTGTCTTTTCTGGCCCTGGAGACAAAAACCATGGTATTTTGTTTGTGGGTTTTTATTATTATTTTTAAGAGAGAAATGTCTATGTTGTGGCTTTGAGATATTTTTTAAGAATATGCCATAAGTACATATTAAAACGGTCCCTTGAGTATAGCTGACTAACAACTCTTCCTCCTTCCAGTACTGCATGGACTGCAAGATAGTTATTCCTTTAAGGTCACAGTGCTCTTGCAGAATCTGGCTTTAGTTCAAAGAGTGGAGCCCAGCACTTGATATTTGAGGACTTCAGAACAATTGTTTGCCACATAAGACTGAAATATTTATAGGTAGCAGCCAAGTACTAAGCAAAAACCCCCAAGCAGATATGGTACTTACCATGGCCAAACAGGATGTTCAATAAGGCTTTCAGACGTTAGTCCCTAGTTCTGGTGTAGTCAGATCTCTTCTTGGTGTGCAATAATCTCCTAGTTCCTGTGCTAGAACTTTCTATCAGCACTATCATTTCTACAAGTCCTGGTATCCCCATCCCTGCAATCACTTGGGATTTTAGCTAATTTTCTGTTTCTGCTGTTCCCACTGCTTCTCAGAACTGCTTGCCTTTCTTCTCCGCATACTCCGAGTGCCTACCTAGGTATGTGTTTCTATATTTAAATGATCTAATAGATTAAAAAAAAATCTATTAACTGGTCTACAGTAGTTCTCATGAAATGAGTTTCTAGCTTCTCTGGACTAGAATCTGTGTCCAGCACATCAATCCATCTCTAGAGGGAGGGAGGGAAGCAAGTTCAGGTTCAGACTGACAGCTACCTGGATGGTTCTGGGTCTGGTCACCTTCTCAGGAACTTTCCCTTCTCTGGGCTTTTGGTGACTTGTCAGGCTCAGCAGACAAGCCATTTAACAAAGTAAGTGGAACAAAGCTTTAAAAACTTAAAGTTAGAAAAGCCTTTCAAGCTAAAAGCCTGCCTTATGCTTAGATTTATTTTGCTTGCTTATTTACTCACACTTTCAGTCAGGTTGAAATCTCAGAGTTATTTTAATTATGCTGAGAGAGTGATCTTAGTTTTAGGCAGGACACTGACTGGAAGAGGTGTTCAATGGGTAAGCATCTCTTACCTTTCTTTTTTTCCTTCTTTGATAGTTGTGCTTTTGGTGGAGCGTGTTGCTCAGGCTGGCTGTTGACAGTAGTAGTTTCAGCTTCAGTAGACATGGTGAGATGGTGGTCAGCTATGCTTGCTGTAACTTTTAAAAGTACAAATGACAGTCACTAGGCAGACATAAGAATATTTCTTCAAGGTAAAATATTGTTAGACCTGTTAGTCCAGTTTTATTCTGCTGAACACTGAAGCCCACTAATGCCTGAATTTTTTAGTAATGATCATATAGGAAGTCTGACTCACTGTCTATTCATCTCAGGCTACAAAGAAGATGAAGTTATGTCCACTAGATGACAAACTCTCACCTCAGTAATACCTAATCAGCAGATCACACTGACCTACATCCACAGCCTCTACTTGCATCACCCTGTTTTAATCTGTTAACCTTTACCTTTTTACCCTTTAAGGCTGTTTATAGAACCTTAGATATTTTGCTGTATTCTCCTTCAGCACTGCCAGCTGCAACTCTGGAAGATGGGATCAGAACTCTCAAAGGTGCCACAAGATCTCATTCACGTTTCTACAACAACTGGAAGTCTAAGGTAATACTACCCAACAGTCAAAAGCAAATAATTTCCTTAGGCTGCAGACAGAGTGTTCCAGGAGAAAAAACAAAACTGCAACAAAACAAAACCCAGAACCCACGCCTTGTCTTAACAGTAATCAAGCAACTTCAGGTTTTTCAAAAAAACCAAGTTAACATGAACTATGGACTACTATGACTTAACTCTGCCATGACACCCTTTTGCCTCTGATACACAAGATACATTTTAAAAATCTGCAGTCACCATGTTTTTTTCCTACACAGCTGAAACATTGATTCTTATTTACCAAAAGGGACTCATATTGTCTTTATGGAGTTCTGAAGATCATCTATACCCAACCAGAAAGAACTGAACGTTCACATCTTCTACAGAAACTGTTCTATGAATCTGCCTGGGGTATTGCAGTGGCTTCAGTAAGTCCCTTGAATTTTAGGATGACCAATGAAACCAAGAAATTGTTTAGCCAATTAAGTAGCTGGGCTACCCTCTACTAGTAGTTTCCCCTACATCCAGGCAAGCAGCCACAGACCAAGCCATCTTTTTTTTTTCTCCTGGCACACCATTTGAGACATACTATGTACCCAGATACAAGTGCTGAAGCATTGCACATCCTCTAGTATTAAAAGCTTTTAATTCTCAATAGCCTTTTCCACATTTGGCTTAGTTACAGCTAATGCGTTATCCATTACTTGGGAGTTACTTTCAGGTTTTACTCTCACTCCTGCCTTCTCTTCCCTCAATTCATTACTAGGTCAATAGCTACAGACTGACTCATCCAGCTTGCTAATAGAGTAATGGATGTCAATGCTTCACTGATTCTTAACCTAGGAAGAACATAATTCCTAAGTCTTTAAGAGAGAATTTCACCCTGAAGACCTCCATTTCCATTTAGCCGGGAGGGAAGCCTTTATGGAACTAGCTGTTAATATAAGCAAAGTTAGATCTAGCTGCCTACCAGATGGTTTGTGAATCATATTTAGCATTGCTCAAGTAAATCAGAGATAAAAGTGCTCATATTTGAAAGACCTCTGGCTGCTATATCTGTTCTCCTCTGTAAGCAGCTTACCTGGCCACAGCAAGAGAACAAAGATGTTGCTGTGAAAATTTTGAGTAGTTCTGAATAGAAGTAGATGTTAGAGAAAGAGTTGATATAGCCAGCCATGGTTTAGGCAATGTTGTCACTGGAAAAGTGGCATGTGCACCCATTCTGACAAAGGAGCAATGAGGAAACTATTACCCAAGAGAGGTTTTTCAGGATACTTGCACCTGTGCTAAAAAGGAGTGTGCCCATTGAAAACCACACATTAAGCAGGTAAAATGAAGCCAACAGAATGCTACTCAAACTTGACTAGCTTGCCTGATGGTATAGTTTTGGGCTGACAGTCTTCAGTGAGCCTCTCCCTAGATTTATCAGGTCCTTCAGAAAGAGAGAGGAAGGAAAGACAGAGTTAAGGTTGAATCATTAGTTAACCACCCACCCTTAACTGGAAGGTTACTGTTTAGAGAACAGAAGGAAAAGGCCTGGAGAAGAACAGAGCTAAGACATGCTCTCTAGGAGCTGAGTCATAGCTTTAGGACATTTTGCCTGGCTCCATGCTGGAAAGAAGAAATAACAACCTCAGGACACCAAGTCCTGCCTGTCAGTGGTGCTGCTTCCCCAATTTAATTCATAGAGTTACGCCCAGCTGTGATGTTACACAATCACAGTGAGCACCTCACTCTGAAGTAAAGCTGAGGCAACAACAAGCAAATAACCTAGGCAGGAGCAAATATGCACAAGCAAGACCTCACTTGGGCAACTGTAAAGTGATAGAAATCCAGATGAGCGGTTGCCATCTTTAAACTCTAGTAGTCCCTCCAGTACTGTCATCTACCTTCATCCTGTGGAAGCCAGATCACTTATTTGCATAAAGCCAGACAGCACAGAACCCCAAGGTGGAGGCAGATGGGCAGTGTTACACACAGGTCAGGCTGAACACTTGCAAATAGACCCTGTCTTACTGTGGAGAGAAAAATCATTCTCAGTGCTAGCAATGCAATTTGAGAAGGTTAGTGAGGATGTTCTGGCCAGTTTACAGGACATACTCTCCTATCTGAGGTCTGGCACAGCTCATCTCACCTGGTGAGAGTTCACAGTACATGACAGTTATTTATCATACCTTTGGAGAACTCACTATCTTTGAGAATCATATTTCTGGAGCAAGAGAATTAGCAAAACTGAGAATGCAAGGATAGACAAAGGCTGCCTTAATATACATTCGTATTTCAAATAGCTACTTCTTGACATCTTAGTTAAGCCACAAGACTAGCACAAAATTGCATCAGGCTTCACCATAAAATTTCAGTGGGGTGTGGGGCAACATTAGATAACTTGAGCTAGCAGTAATCTAGTCTGCTTTTAGTATGAGAGTCTCAGCCACAACCAAATTTGAATTCTATGCTTTAGACCCACATTACAGATCACAGAATGGCAGGGGTTGGAAGGGACCTCTGGGGATCATCTAGTCCAACCCCCCTGCTAAAGCAGGTTCACCTACAATCCCATCCGGGAGGTTTTTGATTATCTCCAGGGAAGCAGACTCCACACCCTCCCTGGCCAGCCTGTTCCAGTGCTCTGTCATCCTCAGAGTAAAGAAGCTTTTCCTCATGTTCAGGCAGAACTCCCTGTGCTCCAGTTTGTGCTCACTGCCCCTTGTCCTGGCACTGGGCACCACTGAAAAGAGCCTGGCCCCATCCTCTTGACACCCACCCTTTAGACATTTATAAGTGTTGATAAGATCCCCTCTCAGTCTTCTCCAGGCTGAGCAGACCCAGGTCTCTCAGCCTTTCCTCATGAGATGCTCCAGTCCCCTCATCTTAAATAGCCCTCTGCTGGACTCTGTCCAGTAGTTCCCTGTCTCTACTGAACTGGGGAGCCCAGAACTGGATACAGCACTCCAGATGTGGCCTCACCAGGGCAGAGTAGAGGGGGAGGAGAACCTCCCTCACCCTGCTGGCCACACTCTGCTTAATGCACCCCAGGGTACCATTGGCCTTTTTGGCCACAAGGGCACATGGCTGGATCATGGTCAACCTTCTGCCCACCAGGACTCCCAAGTCCTTCTCGGCACAGCTGCTCTCCAGCAGGTCAACCCCCAATCTGTACTGGTGCATGGGGTTGTTCCTCCCCAGGTGCAGGACCCTACACATGCCCTTGTTGAATCTCATTAGGTTCCTCTCCGCCCAGCTCTCCAGCCTGTCCAGGTCTCGCTGAATGGCAGCACAGCCTTCTGGTGTGTCAGCCACTCCTCCCAGTTTTGTGTCATCAGCAAACTTGCTGGGGATGCACTCTGTCCCTTCATCCAGGTCATTGATGAATATGTTGAATAAGACTGGACCCAAGTTAAAGCTGTGCAAGTTCTTTGTCATGCTTAAGTTTGGCTTATCTTAATGAGAAGTGCTGGTGTGCTCTACATGCAAATAACAAAAATAAAGTTAAAATCTTCTGGTTTTACTACTTACCTTTGCTTGGAGACTTCCTTTCACAGTACTCATTCCCTTAGTATTTCCTTACTCAGACTGCAGGAGGTAACAAGAAACTAGATGTGTTCTATTGCATTTGAATTCTAAGTTCACCTGAAAAGAGCCAGCTAGCACTATGGCATGGTTAGAGATGCATGCACTTTTGTACAAGGATCGTGCCTTCAGTTATACTGGTATAGTGAGGAACACGAACATTCCCACAGACACTATGTCAGCAGATAGTTAAGTGATGCCTTTTGAATCTTCTCCATGTAGGTAAGCCCCTTGCTATCACCACAGCTTAATTACTATGCCATTTTAAGGTCCATTTCAACTATGCTAAATGCACTATTTCAAAACTCTTTGCAGATTTATGGATGTTGCCACCCTGGCAAACTCTTGCCTGCATCAGTAGATACCACATTTTGCTCACCCACTTTTCAGTTTGCTCCAAAAGGAGCTTGTTAAAAGAGACAGCTAAGTAGTATCTTCCCCCTTTCCTGTAGGGACTATCCTGTGAAGAGTGAGTACTGATCACTCCTTTGGTAAAGACCATTTCAGGCCCTCAACACATAGGCCTTAAAGTATGAGCTGTTACCTACTGCCTCAAGACAGGCAACTCTCCATTCGAGCATTGTACCTAGTTTCCATGCAACTACCCTGGGAAATCAGTTTAAAGACTTCGGCCATGCTGTGCTCTTGGTGTCTTCTCTGAACTCCCTACAAGGAAAGCTATTGGTAGTGATAAGTCATCCTTGAATTACCTGTTTCTTAGCAAGACTTAAAGCACATGACAAATGATTTTGTTGAGTAACATTTAGTCTCCCTGAAGAGATGCTTTCACATTACTCCTTGTTTGAGTAAGGGGTGGCAATATGATAGCTACCCTTGATTATATTTTTGTCTTGTGCAGAGGGGATCAAGGATCTTCATTATGGCTGTAGTCTCATGGGATTTAAAGACTGGACGATAAACCTCATCCAACAGACAGGCTTTTTTGCCCCTCAGCAGACAAAAATAATTGCCTCAATGTTGATGAAATCTTGTTTGAGAAGAAGTTAGGGACACTGAAAGTCAGAGGCAAGGCAGATAAATTAA